TCCTTTTTTTTTCTTTTCTTCTCTCTTTTTTTTTCCAGAACACTTTTCTTCTCTTTTTGGCACTGGGGAGTTGAATCCAGGGGTGCTCTACCACTGAGCTATACCTCCAGCCTTTCAAAAATTTTTTACAGGGTCCCACTAAGTTGCCCAATTCGACCTTGAACTTGCTGCGGTCCTCCTGCCTCAGCCTCACGAGTCCCTGGGAGGTCTGGCGTACATAAACGTTGCACCTGGCATGAGCAGTTTCTTGAGCTCAAGAGATTGAGCAGAAGGAAGGGTCTGTTCCAAGCTCAGCCGTTGGCCTTTGGTCAGCTGCAGGTCAATTTCATAGGTATTTCAGGGGGAAAGTGACCTGGGTCATGTGTTGTCACAGTGAAGGACCATGGTGACACAGTGGTAGCATGGTAATCCCGGGGGTAAATCTGCTTCACAGTCAGGCCTTAGTGCTGCTTAGATGCTACTGGGCCAGTCATTTTGCATCCTATTTGTCAATAGAAGTCACTTTTCTTGATTCTTCCTTTGGTGGTCCCAGCATTTATGTCCATTGAAAGTGCTGCTGTGGGTGTGGGCAGGGCCCAGCACGGGGGACGTTGCTCAAGTCACTGTTTCTCCTTTTTTTGTCTTTTTGAGATTTGTCGATTCTGGCATGGTTCATAAGACTGTGCTTTAAGCAAACTTAAAAAAAAAAGTGCCTTGGTACATTTTGGAGCTGTTCATTTGATGCACTTTCATTTTAGGAAGGCAGTCACAGCTCTGCTTTCTGGTATCTGGGGCAACAAAGATGTGACTGTATCAGAAATAGTATTTGTTTTTATGAAAATATATCCTTCGTGCCTGTTGATGGCTCGCTGATGGAACTGGCATCCTGTCTTCTCCCCGGCCTTGGCCCAGCTGGGTCAAGCACCTTCCCCCTCTCCCAGGAAGCACGTGCCACCCCTTCCTCTCCACCCCTTACCTCCCACCCGCATCCGCAATGCATTGTATAAACACTACCATGAGGGGTCTGCTGCTTTATGTTGTCAAAGGAGGGACACAATCGACGGTCTCTAAAAGTGACCAAAGCAAGTCCACTCCTTACCTGGGAAAACCACAGAGACCGTGGCTCTTCAGTACATCAAATCCGCGGCGACGTTGGTTGTCCCTGTATCTTTGGATTTTGCAAAAGGAAACTGGAATCCCGCGAGTCGTATTAGGAGCCCGTTGAGAAAGTGAACCAAGCAGCAGGTGAAAACCACCCAGAAGGAGGTGGTGTAGCTCTCCCGCTGCATTCTGTAGGCATATGTCCCTTCGGCATAATTTGCAATTTTTTCAGAGAGATGGTGGATTTTCACTTCAGAGGCAAATAAGATCATGACGAGACAGCCACAGGAGCCTGCGACAGAAGGGACAGACACACGTTGGACAGAGAGCCCCTGCGTGCAGGGGACAGAGAAGAGGGTCAGTGAGCCAAGCAGGGACACCTTCCACCATCATCCTCACCCTCTTTCTTCTGCAAGCATCTGGATCATTGCAAATCTGAAATCAGCAGCCTGATCCTCCAGCCCATGGGTGGTGGCGCTGGTGACAGGCCCGGGCCTCCCCTTGGTTACCATGACCCCTCCAGCTCCAAACTGGCCACAGCGGCCAGAGGAGCACCTGCCTGTCACTTCCCTGTCACTCATTGGTAGCTGTGGGGGAGATACGGAGGCAGGGCATATCTTCTTTTGTTTGTTGCTGGATTCCAGGTTTTAGCTGGGCTCATGGCTGTCTTGAATTAAAACCTTATGTGGCTGAGATGAGGGTGACTGAGATGTAGGGCTGGCAAGTTTTCTTGAAGTGTAAGATATAAGGGACCTACTCTGTCTTCCCCACTTGCTCTTTCCTGTAGTTGAAAAATGGATGCAACGTACGGGTGAAGCACCAGCAGACATTTTGGATCAGGTGGCCTCAGAATGGAAAAACAAGAAAGGAAGAATATGGACCCCAGACATCTAAAGCTACCAGATCACCCCTAACCTTAACCTCTAGGCTTCCATGTGGGAGGAAAATAGACATTAATGTCGTTTAATTTATTGTTATTATCTCCCTGTCACTCATTGGTAGCCTAATCCAACCTCACTGCAAGTGTGGTCTGGATGAGATCTCTGTAGGGTGGGGTGTTTCCACACTGGAAACCTGGAAGGGTAGTCTCCCCTGAGTGGGAAGGACAGGAGACCCCCGATGGCTGGTCTTCTACAGGGGCAGAAGCAAGTGGGAGCAGGGTGGAGGGCCAGGCCCCCACAGGGCTTCCACGGGTACCACTGTACCCCGGGTTGCCGGGAAGAAAGTGCAGACTATAGGACACTATAGGATGGGTTTCTGACTCAGGTCAAGCCAATCTGGGGGTCAAACCTAATTCCTTCACTTACTGTGTAAAGTGGGCAATTTGAACCCCAAGTGTCAGTTTCCTGGTCCATTCCAGGTGGTTAGCACAGTGAGCGTGACTGGCGTGTGGCCCCGGGGTGGGAGTGCTCACCATGACCCCTCACCCACCCCTCCCACTCGAGGGGCGCTTGAGTCCGCCAGGGTGGACTCCCACCGTGTACCACAATGCCTCGGGCCCCAGGTACCCTGCCCTTCAGCTCACCTTCCTTGAGGAAGGCAGATACTTTTTCAACCACAGCTGCCACCATCCTGGGAGCAGGACGTGTGGCTACAGCTCCCAACTGTTAATTCACTCATTCATTTCTTCCATCACAGGCCAAGGTCGGGATGGTGGTGGAGACTTAGAACATTCAAGAAGAGACTCATGTTTCTGTGCTCTCAGAGGATGATTGTTAAAAGCAGCTGTGGTGTCCCCGGAGCTCAGCTACAAGAAGGTCTGGAGGAGAAAGCCTGGGCCGTACCCTTAGCCTAATCAGAGAGTCAATCCCGGGTACGAAGGCAGGTAGGTGTGGCCGGAGGAAGCGGCTCACGGGGCACCTGGCTGCAGGGCCCATATTTGTATCCAGCAACAGAGACCCCTCTCTGCTGCCTGGTCACTATGGGAACCGCTTCCCTCTGCCACACTCTCCCACCATGATGTTCAGCCTCCCCTGGAGCCCGGGGAATGGAGCCAGCCACTTGTGGACCAAGATCTCTGAAACCAGAAGCCCTAAATAAACTTTTCCTCCTCTACAATTCTGGTTGGGTCTTTCAGTCGCAGCAGTGAAAAAGTTGACCAAAAAACAGTGACCAAGCCAGGAACGCAAAACACCTGGAAAACTAGCCACACGGTATGGTGCAGGGGTTGGTGCCATTACCAAGAGGCAGGCAGCACCAGCACCAGCACCAGGATGCTGCCTGAGAGGTGACCAGAAGGAGCCACAGGAGTTGGCCTTGCAGAGAGAGATGGCCCCATGGAGGACAGGGCAGGGCAGGGCAGGGCAGGACAGGACAGGCCAGGCACGGGAGTGCTCATGCCAGGGTTGGCCCCATGTCTTTCCTAAAGGTCAGGGTTGTGTGAAGATGGACAGAAAGCTGACCTTACTTTCTTTTTCCTTAGGGTTCCATCTGGGACCCGTGCATCAACTTTGTCACCGCCCTGCAACACCCAGCAGTCAAATGAAGCGATGTCTTCAAAACCTCCCTTTTCCTCAGTAAGATTTGTCAGCCTAACTATTTTTGCATTCCAGGCTTCAAACCAAAGCTCTCCCTTGCAGAACCACACTCTTCCTTTATTGTCAGATCCCAACAGAAAGGCCACCGCGCTGTGCTCTCTTTATCTTTTATTTGAAAATTGTGGTGAAAAGCCGCTGCTTTTACCCTAAGAGCTCCCTTTGTCTGCGGAGATGGGGATTTCAGACGCAGCCAGCACTGTTTCCCTAGTGTCTGAAAGGGAAATTCAGGCTCGGTTTCCTTTTCACGTTGTTAAATATTTTAAAGGTTCTACTTTGTTAAGGAGACAGTGTTGTGAGGCTGCACTTCAAAGTCCTCAGGTGGAAGTCACTGGTCACGTCTGGGACTCAGAGCCTTTGGCTGTGACCGGCCTGTGAGGTGAGGAGGCCCAAGACAGAGCACTGGTCCAGGAGATCCCAGATGGGCTGGGACTCCGCTCTGGACCCGGGTCGACCCCGAGGTCACTCTTGTCGCCTCAGAGGCAGAGGAGGGCAAGCAGGGCAAGCCTCTGACACCCTGTCCCTGAATGCCCAGAGACCCGAGGGAAAGCGAGCTCGGTGCAGATTTAGGAGATTTTCCCTCCTCTCTGTCCACTCCATAAAAGGGCCATGGGATCAAGGAAAACTGTGACTTACAGATGAAAAGATGCACATGGAGACTCTGAGTGCCCGCTGCAGGGGACATGGGCAGTGGGTAACGGCGAGAACAGGGCTTCGCACATTTCCAGCCCTCAGACCCTGCAAGAGGGCTCCTACGTGAGTCCCACACTCAGGGGGCCTGCTCTGCCTCCCCTCTACAGAGGGCTCCCCTGCCCCCACAGGGTGAGGACTCCTCCAGGTCGGTAGGACATGGCCCTATGGAGAGCTTGAGCTGCACAGACCACGCTCCTAGGACCCTGGGCTCGGTTCCCCAAAACCCCCAACCCAATCCAAGGCCGGCAAGGACCCGACCCTGGGTCAAGCCCTCCCTCCAGAGAGCAGTGACTGGTGCTGCACTTGGCTGAGGACTCAGGTGGCCAAGAAGTCGCTGTTGGAAGGGAGTGAGTGCCCGGGGCTTGGCTGAGCCGTGGAATGTCCGCACATGGGCTCCAGGCCCTTCACCTGGACAGGCCAGGCAGGAGTGAGCGTGGACAGTGCCAAGGCTGGCTCAGCTCAGCGTTTCCAGACTCGAGAATTCCTTGCATCTAGCCTTCCGTCTCCTTCTGGAGGGGTGTTTCTCAAGGTAGAAGGAGAGAGAACCCTTTACAGTGGGTTAGCTTGAAACCTTTAAAAGCTTAGGCACAAGGGACATGGGTCTTCTTTTGCACTGTTCCCTACAGTCTCTCGAATGTCAGGACTGGCCTGTGATTCTCTCCCTTCCCTCGTTATCTGTGTTGGTCAAGAGCCCGACTCAGCTTCCCAAACCAGCACTTTGGGAAGGCTGCTGGGCAGACCAGGCACAAGGCCATGGTCACTGCCCAGAGTCGCACCCAACGACCTGCAACATTTCCCCATCCTCTGGCTTCCCCACCATCTGGCCGGTGCTGTAGCTGGTCCTCCCGGCCCCCTCGAATGGCGCTGATTACTGAGTTAATTCCTGACTAATGGGACTGCTGAGTCACAGGGCTGTCACACTGTGAGTGCCCAGGCAATTACCAAACACTGGTGGTCTGCTAGGCACTGCACCCAGAAGGCCCCTGGCAGCTGCCTGGGTCCATGGTACCGGGCGCCTGCCCTTGCAGCCCTTGCACACAGGTACTAGGTCCCAACAGTGAGACAGCTGCTCCTTGATCCCTGAGTGTGACTGGGCTTTCCTGGGTGGGGACAGTCTGCCAGGCTCACTGAGGTCCTGGGCTGCTGTGGCCCAGGCCCACTGGGGGCCTCTGAGATTCTATCCTATCATCACTAAACTCATATTTGGAAAATCATTAGCATTCCAATTCCTCTTAAAGTCATGACCAATATTTCCAGAGTGAGAAGACGTCACCTTTCAACTCTGACAGATGACAGACTAAGAGGCATTCCATTTCTAAGACAATGTGGTAAGCTGATCATCGGCTTCTTTCAGGACCCCCAAGAGATGACAGAAAGGGTACGGGAAAGGGCCAGCTCTGCAGGTATAAGTGCTGATTTTCTGGAAAATTACACAATCTCTCTAGAAAGCCTGTAATCAAAGGTGAGCAGGGTGAAGTGGCCTTCCCAGGGGAGGTGGGTCCAGCTCCGCCCGCCTTCAGAGAGCACTGGTCCATCCAGAAAGGGCAGGTAGTGGCGGGAAGTTAAGCCAGTCAGTACTGACCAGGAGGCGAGTGCGTCTGCCACGTGTTTCCACAGCACAGAGTGGGGAGAGGAGGAGCCTTGCTGAGGGGTGCTCTTCCTCCTCGTCCCCTGCTCTAGACCATCCAAGAGCCCACACTGACCTAATATTTCCAAAAGCCTTGTTAACAAGAAGGACAACCAACAAAGAAGAAATGGTTTCAAATCTCCATCTAATTTGAATGGATTTTTAGAAAAGAAGAATGCCCATTGTTCCCAGGAGCAGGGCAGTGTCAAAGGTTTCTTTGGAGGATGCAGTGAAGACTTGGGGTGGACTCCTAGTGACACAGAGGGGAAGGCAGGCTATGGCAACCATGACAGGCAGAGACCAGGCATCTCCTTGCACAAGGTCGTGGCTGGGCCCTGGGCAAAGCCAGGCAAACCCGGCACTGCCATTGCAGCTCAGCCTGAGTGACCGGAACCACAGTGCTCTCTTGACACTGCAGCTTCACGGCAGCCACGGGTGTGGAAGGGGACTCCTTGCCCTGGCTCATGGCTGACATTACCCCTCCATTCCTTCTGAGCTTCTTTTCAAAGGTCTGTGCTGCGACAGGTAGGACACTCTCGTTGCTGGCTTTTCTGTGCCTGGACATCCCTGACCATCCCTCTCAGACTCCTGAGCTCCTTCCTAAGGACTGAAGTGGAAGTAAGATGTGGGCTTTTCCCACTACCAGTTGCAGGACAATGTCCCTTGGGTGAGTTGGGCACACCACAGAGGTATGGTGAATTCTGAAACTGACACATGACAGGAACATCCGACTGTTTGGGGATTGTTTTCCATTTTCCCGTCTTTGTGCTACGTATATGACTGTGCCATAGCTGTACTGACCAAAATCAGGCCGTACCAAGGGCACCCCCTCTAAAGACAGGCAGCAATTTTATGTGTTTGCCTTGCTTGATAGAACTCATAACAGGAGGCCAGAATTTGTCCAGATTTTCATGGTTTTCACTGTCCCCCAAAGACCTGAGCCATCTCACGCCATCCTTGGAGAATACTCATTGAACTACCATGTTCTGCCACCAACCCCTGGAAGACTCCCCCCTGCAGGTCCAGCCGAGACTCTGCCACCAACCAACAGGGAAGCTTTGAGAAGATGCAGACAGAAGGCACACACTCAGCCCCCACCCCATGCTGCCTTCCCCAGCCACCCACCCCGTCCACTCTCAAAGGTGACCACCTTTGACCAAACCCACTGGTGACCAGGACTTCTGAACCAAGTCCTTCTGGCTCTGCCCAGGCCATTCTGCTAGAGGTTCACCCTCCCTATGTGGCAGCACCCGTTCCCATCACTCCACAAGACAACTACCTCCCGACAATGCCTTTCATCTGGACCTCTTCTCCGAGCTCTGGACCCAGAGCTGACCATCTCCTCGACACCTGCCCTTGGCCGTCTCACGGCATCTCAGGCTCTGCACGTCCCAGGCAGAACATCTGATTTCTAGCGAAGCTCATGTCTCTTCACCGTGCTTATGCTGAGTCTGTTCCTCCCTTGTCCCATCCATCCTGGTCAGTGCCACCACTATCTATTGAGCCAGCTACCTGAAAACTCTTTTAGGTCCACTTTCAGGGTGTTTTTAGAATCCCTTCATCTTTCTCCATTTCTAACTCAATAGCATCGTCTTCTACCAGACATTGTTTGAAGAGACGAGTCACCTATACCATTTCTTCGTCATGCCTCAGGATGTCAGGGCCCTTGTCCAGCAGGGAAGTGGACATCTGAAGGCATGGTCCTAGCGTGACTTTGGCACAAAGAAAGGGGGAGCTTAGGGAACACGGGTGGGGGAAGAGTGGGAGGAGAAAGAGAGAGGGCAACAGCTTTCTTCTGCTGGCTGAGCAAGGCCACCCGGGCCACCCTGCTGAGACAAAGAGGGAATGCTACAGTCTAGAAGTGAGGTGTCCCCAAAGCTCCCATGTGGGCATGCAGGAAGCTCAGAGTGGAATGGCTGGCTCTGAAGCCTTAACCTCATGAGTGCATTTACCCTCTATAGGGATCACCTGGGTGGTGACTATAGGCAGGTAGGATGTGCCAAAAGGAGGTGGGTCCTGGGGGTGACTCAGTGGCATCTATTTTGTTCTTGGTGAGCAGAGCTCTCTCTCTCTCTCTCTCTCTCTCTCTGCTTCCTGACCTGCTTTTCTCCACCACACCCTTCAGCCATGATGTTGGCCTTTCCCTGGGGCCCAGAGCCATGTGGTCGGCTGACCATGGGCTGAGATTTCTGAAACCACGAACCCCAAATAAACTTTTCCTCCTCCAAAATTGTTCTTGTCAGATCTTTTGGTCACAACAACAAAAAACACGGATGGAAGCAAGGAGGAAACCCCATTGAACACAGCCGTACTCACACCTCAGATAAGGCCCCTAATGTCCTGGCCTGCAGGGTGTGACCGTCCACTCACTTCTGGAGGTCCGGTGAGTGCGTGAGCCCTGCCCTTGGGTGTGAAGCTGGGACGTGTGACATCATGACCTCAGATGAACACTTCCCAGCGCCGGGCTTCTGGGGGCCATATGTGGACTTAAGGAGAAGGAGGTACTCTGGGCTCCAGGAGTCACAAGCCATTGGTCCACCTGACCCTCAGGCACATTTGGTGGCCATGCACAGTCTTTCCAAATGTACTGGAAACTTCAGTATTTAGAGATAAGGTGGGAAGGTTGGAAGAGCTCTGTAGCCCCAAGCCCCAAGCTTCACCCTGGGCAGGTAGCAGAGCCCTCCAGGCCCTCCTGTCTCTCATCCTGACTCCCACCCCTACTGAGAACCTGCTTTGCCTTTCCAGCTCCAGATGATGAAACAGGGTGAGCACAAGGCTGGTGATTCCCGCCTGCGCCCCTGCATCCCGTTCTCCTGGCATCAGACTTTGCCAAAAGCAAAGACCTAAAATTGTGCATCTCTGAGGCATCTTGCTGCTCAGTGCTGCTAGTCGGTTCTGATCGACCACCAGAACTGTCCAGTAGCCTGTCTCCCAGGGGCGGTCGGGCAGTTTATCCAGATGCTAGAGCGCTGCGTGGCTGTGCCGTGGACAAGCTATGGCCTCTCTGCTTCAGCCGGCTTGGCTCTGCTCTTCTATGGACACCAGATCCACCCTCCCCAGACCAGTCCCACCTATCAACTGCTTCCAGTTAGACTCTGAGTAACGTGAGCACCAGGGGGAGAGGAGACGGAGAGGGAAGGAGAGCCCCCTCCATCTGCTCACAGTTCTGCATGGTGCAGAACCAGGACCGTCCCTGGCCTCCAACCCCTGGGGAATAGCCCAATGCTCCCACCTGGATTTGCCTCCTGGTCACACCCAGGGTCTGTGCCTCTTCTGCCCTGGCTGCAAGCCTTGGCTGTCCTTGGAGACACTGCATCCCGTTCCTGGTCCCACTGTCTCTGGGACCTGCTCTGCTAATCTCATCCCATCTGAATTCTGTTCTCTAACCTGTACCATCTAGTGGCTCAGGGAATGTCTCCTTCTGGACTTAGCTTTTCAAGTCAACAAACATCAAATTGTTCTCTGTGAGACCTTCATGCTAGGGGCGTCTGCCATAGACAGAAAGATGAGCAGGCCTTAGACTCTGCCCTCATAGGGAAATCGCCATCTGTACCACTTTACACTGCTCTGTGCTTGTGACAGACATGAGAAACCTGAGCAGACTCCCCCTGGAGAGACCCTGCTTTGAATGGGTGAATATGAATGGGTGAGGCTAAGAGGTGACACTGTGCGCTAAGGTGAACCAGCCCTGGGGACTGCAGAGCTTGGCCTTCTAGATGGGACCCATGCAGGTCTGTGGCTGGGGTTGCACCCTGGGCAAAGGGAGTAGCATCAGGATGAGCAGGGGCCTCGTGCCTGCTGACTGGTGGCTGGCAGTCAAGGGCAACCTCAGGGAGGAAGGACCCGTCCACCAGGGATTGTTGGCTGGTGGGAGTTGTCATTGCTGTATTACATCAGCAATTAAATTAGTTCCTTCTGGGGAATATGGTCAAGTGCTGAACCGTTTTGCAAGTTTAGACTGGGGTAAAATCAGAGCTCTCCTGTGGAAGAACAGCCGCATATGAACTAGGTATCTTATTTCCGTTTTCTCATCTCCTTCTCCTCCTCACTAATATTCCATAAGCACGCTGTGGCGCGGCCTGCACCTTCTATTCACCAGCTCTGGAGATGTAGTAGCACATGTTTATCAGGGAGCGAATTTCCGGGTCTGGAGTTCCTCCCTGCCCAGGTGGCCCTGACATCAGGCTGTGGCAACGCATGTGCGGGGAGACACCAGCCCCTTACCCTTTCGGATGGCATTTATTCATTCTTCTGATTTTGAATAAATAAAAGCACATCATGGAATAGTTAGAAATAGTGACAACTGTGAGCAAAGATAAAAAACACACCAATCAATTAGACTGTCCCCTCCCACCCGGGCATACACAAGGAGGCCCCATGAACATATCGAGAGATGGGCAATACACACGGACGCATATGAAGTTCAGTGTGCATTTTTTTATATGTTCATCTCTCAATTATGTATACACAGTCAAACTGGGCTTACAATGTTTATATGTTTATAATATCTTTCTGGTTTTTTTTTTTACTTAACATTTAAAATGACTTTATTTTATTTATTTATTTTCATGTGGCGCTGAGGATAGAACCGGTGCCTGGTACGTGTGAGGCAAGGCTCCACCATTGAGCCCCAGCCCAGCCCTTACTTAACATTTTAATACTAGCATTTATTCTCTTGATCACATCTTAAAACTTATGATGTCAGTATCACAGTCATTCATACAGACTTCTGCAATGTCTCCACTGAACTCCACAGTGTTGGACAATGTTTCAGTGGGCCTTTTGTCCCTGTGACCAACATACCCAAGAAGAACAGCGCTGGGGCTCAGGTTTCCGGGTCTCCATCCACTGCTCTGGGCCTGCGTGAGGCAGAGCGTCTGGTGGCAGGGCCCAGGGAGGACAGCTGCCAGCTCCTGAAGGGTCAGGAAGTAGAGGTGGGGGAAGGCCCTTCCTCCTCCAGCCTTGCCTACAGTTACTGCTCAATCTGCCCTTCAAATCAGGATGGACCAATTAGGTCACAGTCTTATCCTCTAATTATTTTGCTTCTGAATAGTCAGCCATTAACAGGAGCCTGAGGGATGCCTCATAGCCAATCATAACACATGCTTCTACCATGTTTGCTGTCATGGATCCCACGTCAGTGAACATTCACATGTATATAACTTTATACCTTTTGACACATTGAAAAGCATATTTGCATTTGGAGGTAGGATTTTTTACTTACCTGAAATGAAACTCAGAAGATACAACCCAAGGGGCCCATGCAGGGTCTCAAAGGGTTTGCCAAAAGCATTGTACATGAAGAGGGCAGTCCCCGCCATGGTCACAACCGTCAGGATCGTGGAGAAGAGAATGACGTTGACGTGGATGCTCACTGGGATGGCTTTGAGCAAGTCTGGGAAAACTGAAGGCAAGCCAAGAATTAGGATTCCATGATCGGTATCTGCAAGCGTAAGCTTAGAAGTTAAACTCCTTGCCAGGCGCGGTGGCACATGCCTGTCATCCTGGTACTTTGGGAGGCTGAGGCAGGAGGATCGCGAGCTCGAAGCCAGCCTCAGCAAAAGCGAGGTGCTAAGCAGCTCAATGAGACCCTGCCTCTAAAATAAAATACAAAATAGGGCTGGGGATGTTACTCAATGGTTAGTGCCCTGGGGTTCAATCCTTGGTACAAAATAAAATTTAATTAAATCCCTCTTCTTTTTTTATAATTTTTTGAGCATTTCTAATATCACTAAAATCTTGTTAATGAGTATGTTCTTACTAATTTATGAGGAGTTTACAAGAAGATTTAAAGACAGCACCATTGTATTGAATTCACCTGTAAAAAGTGGCAAAGGGGAGATTTGAGGGAGTCTTTTATTTCTGTGCTTGGTCATATGTAATTGCTTAAAGAAATAAGTGCTGGCTTTATAAATCAAAACCATATCGTTTGATGACCAAACTTTTAATGACATTTCTCAGTAATAATTTTTTAAAAGTCTCCCTTAACTTGTAATGACATTTTAAGTTTGGGGATATTTGGGGGAATTCAAATATCAGGAGGTTTTTATATTTTCTTTGTTATGAAAAAATTAAAAAATTGGTTCCTAGCCCACACCAAGATTAAAGAATGGGGTATTTTCAGTCAACTTCAATATTTTGATGTAGCACAAAGCTGTGGGAAAATAATTTCTGGTGCTACAAGAAATATTTTCCATTTAGAAACCACGCCAAATCTATTTCTAGACTTTGTGTTCAGGGCAAGTTTTTCTTGTCTGCAGAGGAAATGAAATATCTTATAAATGTACGGCTTCCTTTATCGGGTGAGGGATCAGTATGCTTGCCATCAGCAAAACTGGCAGATGATCTGGGGAAGGTCAGTTTAATTTGATTTTACAACCACTCATTAAATGGTTAATTTATTGAGCACCTACTAAATGCCAGGCACTGTTCTAGGTCTTGGAAGTGGAGGCTTAGAACAAGATAGACAAGGTCCCTGTTGTCTCACAGAGCTTATTACCTAGTGAGAGTTAGCCAGCAAACAAATGTGCAGGTGATATCTATAGAGCATGAAAATGCATTCACAGCAAATTCACTTCCAGGAGTCTATCCTACGAACATTTTTGCATGTGAATCCAATGAAGTATTACAAAGGTAATCATTGCAGCATTTTTTGTAATAACAAAAGTTTGGAAATACTTTACGTGAACCAGCAATGGAATCTTAGTCCATCACCATGAGTGAAGCACATCCGTAAGAACAGATTGGAATTATCATCAAAATGTGGGTTAGACGGAAAAACAGACCAAACAAATAAAAGAAAATGTACATCACTCCGCCATTTGGAGAAAAGCCCCGGGGGAATGTACATGGTGACAAATAAGTATTCAAACCCTCATCTAATTTAATTCTCCCAACGACCCCTTGAGACAGGTAGGCACAGGAACTATGTTCTGTGCCCAAGACTTATGCTCAGTAAGAGTCAGAGCAGGGTTTGAACTCACCTCCTCCCTCCTGCCCCCACTACATCAGCCTCAGGGGTTGTTGTGTGTACTGAGCCTCAGGGTTTCCAGAAGCCAGTCCCCACACTGGTAACCTGGCTTCTGGGGAGAGAGACAAGGAGCATTTCACCACGTACCTGTCTTGTGCTGTTTGGGGGAGGAAAGGGTTGACATTGCTGCGAACATTATCTATTCATACTTTTTTAATAATTAAAATTTTTAAACCTGTGACTGTCATAGATTAAAAGAAACTTAAGAGGCACATTGACCAAATACCAAGCGTGCAGATGGTGGCTGTGGTTTGTGACTCGAACCAGACACATATAAAGAGACAATTTTGAGACAACTATGGACAACTGAACAGGGACTGGGTATTAGATGATATTTCATAGTTAACGTTGATTTTATTGATGCTGTTAATGGTTTGTAGTTGTGGTTTTACTAAAGTTCTTGTGTTAGAAATGGGTTAGATGATGGATGGATGGACGGATGGAGATAAAATCAAGCGCGTCCTCGGCTCTGCCTGGAGGCTGGGGCAGTGCAAAGTGAAGGCTGAAGTTCAGGTGCTGAGCTGCTGGTGGCTGTGGCCGCCAGGGTGCACGCTGCCTCTTTCCAGGGCATCACAGTCTTTTCTAACTGTGACTTTTTCTCTTTCCTCCCTTCCTTCCTTCCTGTTCTGGGTCTGACCTCAGGACCCTGTGTGGCCCAGTGCCAGGCAAGCCATGGAGTCACACTGTCCTGGGCATCGCAGGCATGAATTTCCAGGTGCAGCTGGTCTTGTGCCCAGAACCCTGTGCTCTGGCCCTGCCCACTACTGACTCAGTGCAACCAACCCAGCTGTGACCCTCACAGCTGGTCCTCACAGTTGGCCAGCTAGTGACTTCATTTTTGCCAGCCAGCAGTTGTTCAAAACCGCTCACCTCCATCTTCCCACCTGTGGAAAATGTGGTGACCTCCCTGTGACAGTGTTTCAGTCAGCTGCTTCACTGCAGTGAATAAATGACCCTCCAGAACAATTTTAGGGAAGAAAAGTCTATTTGATGGCCATGGTTTCAGAGTCTTAGTCCATGGACAGCAGGCTCCATTCCTGGGGCTTGAGGTGAAGCAGACGTCATGGTGTGAGAGTGTGGCAGAGGGAGGCAGGGGGAGAGAGAGTGGAGGAGAGA